TCCTGTAATATCTCTGTCACACCGTGAACTCTACGTCCGTCATATTGTCAGAGTCGTCACTCTGATCCTGTCAGACTGTTTAATATTTCCGTCACGCTCTGTAATAATTCTTCTGACATATTAATGAGCTTGCGGCGCCGCTCTGTCCCCGTCAGACATCACAACATATTTCACATTAAAAGCCGCTGTAGGTGGCCTATTCCTTTGGGTTTTAATTTAACAGGACTTTTATTGTGAAAATCAGAGGAACCTGAATTCTGTTCGTGTCGTGTAAAAACTGAAGTTTTGACTTCAGACGTCTTCACTGCAGGGGATCACCATGACAACCTGCCTGCTGCCATGACGATGGGCGCAGCCCAGTCACCCACCCAACCGGACGGCGACCCCGCCCCCAGGCTGGCGGAGCTGATCGAGGATCAGCAGGAGGCGCAGTGGAGGACGGAGGTCCTGGATCTGCTGAAACAGCTGGTCCTGATCCAGAAGGAGGTCGCTGGAGGTCAGGTGCAGGTGGCCCAACTGCTAGGAACTCTGGGAACTCAGGTGGGTTTAATCTGGTTTAATCTTAGTTGAGACAGAATTTATCTCAGGTTTAGTTGAATTTAGTTGAGATTATCTCAGGTTTAGTGTAGTTGAGATTATCTCAGGTTTAGTTAAATTCATTTGAGATTATCTCAGGTTTAGTTTAGCTGAGATTATCTCAGGTTTAGTCTTGTTGAGATTATCTCGGGTTCAATTGAGATTATCTCAGTTTAGTATAGTTGAGATTATCTCAAGTTTAGTGTAGTTGAGATTATCTCAGTTTAGTATAGTTGAGATTATCTCAAGTTTAGTGTAGTTGAGATTATCTCAGGTTTAGTTAAATTCATTTGAGATTATCTCAGGTTTAGTTAAATTCATTTGATTTTATCTCAGGTTCAGTTTATCTCAGGTTTAACGTAGTTGAGTTTATCTCAGGTTTAGTTTAGCTGAGATTATCTCAGGTTTAGTTTATCTCAGGTTTAATGTAGTTGAGATTATCTCAGGTTTAGTTTAGCTGAGATTATCTCAGGTTTAGTCTCGTTGAGATTATCTCAGGTTTAGTCTTGTTGAGATTATCTCAGGTTCAGTTGACATTATCTCAGGTTTAGTATAGTCGAGATTAGCTGAGGTTTAGCTCAGGTTTAGTTGAGATTATCTCAGTTTAGTGTAGTTTGGGTTGAGGTGGTCAAACTGTTCGATGTGCTCAGAGCTCAGGCTGAAGTAAGATGATATAAACTGGTTCAGACTTGGTCTCACTGACAGTGTGGATTTTCAGACCAGATTAAACCGAACCGGTCTAATCTGGTTTATTCTGATTTAATCTGGTGTAATCTAAACGACAGTCTGTCAGTTGACGATCTGAATCTGATCACATGTTGATGATGATGTCACCTCGTCTGATCTGGTTGAAACCGGTCTAACCAGTGTTCTGACGTGGTGTCTCCAGGGCTCCCAGCAGATCCAGGACCTGCAGAACGTGGCTCGTCACCAGAGTCTGCTGGTTGAGAACCATCAGGCGTTACTACTGCAGACGTCACGTATTGCCACCCAGCTGCAGGAACTCGCCAAAAAACCTGCTGCGCCGCCACTCACCGCCCCCGGCCAATGAGATCCTCTGATTGTACCAACAGTGGAAAATGTTCTGAGCCAATAAGATCGAGTTATTCAACTGGACATTTATCTTAACTTTATTGTATCTGCTGATCAATAATCAGTACCCAGCTAATCAATAACCAGCTAATCAATAATCAGTAACCAGCTAATCAGTAACCAGCTGATCAATAATCTGTAACCATCTGATCAATAACCAGTACCCAGCTAATCAATATTCAGTACCCAGCTAATCAATAATCACTAACTAGCTAATCAATAATCAGTAACCAGCTGATCAATAACCAGTAACCAGCTAATCAATAATCAGTACCCAGCTTATCAATAATCAGTAACCAGCTAATCAGTGAGACTGATGTTAATCAATGATGATGCTAATCATCAAGCTTTAACATTAAGATATTGTTTTTCATTAAAAATCAGGAAATTTATTAGAAACATGTTGATAAATGATCAATAAAGGTGAACACATGTTGTCTTTCTCACCTGTTGATGACATCACAGCAGCTCATTGGCTGAGCCAATCAACAGCTCACGATGTTTCTGATTTCATTCACAGAAAAACGCTCTTCTTCTCTTGTTGTAAATTATGCTGTCGACTCTTCTTTTGTTGTAAATTATGCTGTCGACTCTTCTTCTCTGATTTTAAATAAAGTTATTTTGTTTCATCCAAACAGTCGTCACTTCTCTGTGTGTCACTGTGTGTTACTGTGTGTCACTGTGTGTCACTGTGTGTCACTGTGTGTTACTGTGTGTCACTGTGTGTCACTGTGTGTCACTGTGTGTTACTGTGTGTCACTGTGTGTCACTGTGTGTCACTGTGTGTTACTGTGTGTCACTGTGTGTCACTGTGTGTCACTGTGTGTTACTGTGTGTCACTGTGTGTCACTGTGTGTCACTGTGTGTCACTGTGTGTCACTGTGTGTCACTGTGTGTCACTGTGTGTCACTGTGTGTCACTGTGTGTCACTGTGTGTCACTGTGTGTCACTGTGTGTCACTGTGTGTCACTGTGTGTCACTGTGTGTCACTGTGTGTCACTGTGTGTCACTGTGTGTCACTGTGTGTCACTGTGTGTCACTGTGTGTCACTGTGTGTCACTGTGTGTCACTGTGTGTCACTGTGTGTCACTGTGTGTCACTGTGTGTCACTGTGTGTCACTGTGTGTCACTGTGTGTCACTGTGTGTCACTGTGTGTCACTGTGTGTCACTGTGTGTCACTGTGTGTCACTGTGTGTCACTGTGTGTCACTGTGTGTCACTGTGTGTCACTGTGTGTCACTGTGTGTCACTGTGTGTCACTGTGTGTCACTGTGTGTCACTGTGTGTCACTGTGTGTCACTGTGTGTCACTGTGTGTCACTGTGTGTCACTGTGTGTCACTGTGTGTCACTGTGTGTCACTGTGTGTCACTGTGTGTCACTGTGTGTCACTGTGTGTCACTGTGTGTCACTGTGTGTCACTGTGTGTCACTGTGTGTCACTGTGTGTCACTGTGTGTCACTGTGTGTCACTGTGTGTCACTGTGTGTCACTGTGTGTCACTGTGTGTCACTGTGTGTTACTGTGTGTCACTGTGTGTCACTGTGTGTCACTGTGTGTTACTGTGTGTCACTGTGTGTCACTGTGTGTCACTGTGTGTTACTGTGTGTCACTGTGTGTCACTGTGTGTCACTGTGTGTTACTGTGTGTCACTGTGTGTCACTGTGTGTCACTGTGTGTTACTGTGTGTCACTGTGTGTCACTGTGTGTCACTGTGTGTTACTGTGTGTCACTGTGTGTCACTGTGTGTCACTGTGTGTTACTGTGTGTCACTGTGTGTCACTGTGTGTCACTGTGTGTTACTGTGTGTCACTGTGTGTCACTGTGTGTCACTGTGTGTCACTGTGTGTCACTGTGTGTCACTGTGTGTCACTGTGTGTCACTGTGTGTCACTGTGTGTCACTGTGTGTCACTGTGTGTCACTGTGTGTCACTGTGTGTCACTGTGTGTCACTGTGTGTCACTGTGTGTCACTGTGTGTCACTGTGTGTCACTGTGTGTCACTGTGTGTCACTGTGTGTCACTGTGTGTCACTGTGTGTCACTGTGTGTCACTGTGTGTCACTGTGTGTCACTGTGTGTCACTGTGTGTCACTGTGTGTCACTGTGTGTCACTGTGTGTCACTGTGTGTCACTGTGTGTCACTGTGTGTCACTGTGTGTCACTGTGTGTCACTGTGTGTCACTGTGTGTTACTGTGTGTCACTGTGTGTCACTGTGTGTCACTGTGTGTTACTGTGTGTCACTGTGTGTCACTGTGTGTCACTGTGTGTTACTGTGTGTCATTGTGTGTCACTGTGTGTCACTGTGTGTTACTGTGTGTCATTGTGTGTCACTGTGTGTCACTGTGTGTTACTGTGTGTCACTGTGTGTCACTGTGTGTCACTGTGTGTCACTGTGTGTCACTGTGTGTCACTGTGTGTCACTGTGTGTCACTGTGTGTCACTGTGTGTCACTGTGTGTCACTGTGTGTCACTGTGTGTCACTGTGTGTCACTGTGTGTCACTGTGTGTCACTGTGTGTCACTGTGTGTCACTGTGTGTCACTGTGTGTCACTGTGTGTCACTGTGTGTCACTGTGTGTCACTGTGTGTCACTGTGTGTCACTGTGTGTCACTGTGTGTCACTGTGTGTCACTGTGTGTCACTGTGTGTCACTGTGTGTCACTGTGTGTCACTGTGTGTCACTGTGTGTCGCTGTGTGTTACTGTGTGTCACTGTGTGTCACTGTGTGTCACTGTGTGTCACTGTGTGTCACTGTGTGTCACTGTGTGTCACTGTGTGTCACTGTGTGTCACTGTGTGTCACTGTGTGTCACTGTGTGTCACTGTGTGTCACTGTGTGTCACTGTGTGTCACTGTGTGTCACTGTGTGTCACTGTGTGTCACTGTGTGTCACTGTGTGTCACTGTGTGTCACTGTGTGTCACTGTGTGTCACTGTGTGTCACTGTGTGTCACTGTGTGTCACTGTGTGTCACTGTGTGTCACTGTGTGTCACTGTGTGTCACTGTGTGTCACTGTGTGTCACTGTGTGTCACTGTGTGTTACTGTGTGTCACTGTGTGTCACTGTGTGTCACTGTGTGTCACTGTGTGTCGCTGTGTGTCACTGTGTGTCACTGTGTGTCACTGTGTGTCACTGTGTGTCACTGTGTGTCATTGTGTGTTACTGTGTGTCACTGTGTGTCATTGTGTGTTACTGTGTGTCACTGTGTGTCACTGTGTGTTACTGTGTGTTACTGCGTGTCACTGTGTGTCACTGTGTGTTACTGTGTGTACAGGAAATAAAACTTCAACTAAGGTCCCGACTTTAAAACCCTGTGTGGAGACACGACGTAGGAAATGACCAGTATCATGGCACACAATAACTGTCCAATCAAGGCTGAGTATGTAAATTAGCTCACCTGCACCCACCCCACACGTGTCAGGTGTGTGACAGAGAAGAGTCTGAACGAGACAAAGATCCGTCAGAACCTCAGAGACGACCATCAGATCAGAGAAACTTTAGCTGACTCCGTAAGAAGCCCCTGTTGGTGGGTGGGCGGGGTCAGGTGTTATAATCCCACCCATCAGCACATATGGGCGTGGCCATGTGTCATCATCACTGTCAGTGTGTTACAGAGTTGTTGTTGACCTGACGCTGTGTTTGTTTCAGATCCTCCAGGTCCTCCTTCAATCCGTCTCAACTCTGACTTTCTGCCAAACCAAACCGAGGTGGTTCTGACCGCTGGCTCCACCTTCACCCTCAGTTGTCATGGTAACATTTCAGTTGGTTGGACCTTCACTGCATTCAATCTGTTGTACCGGGACGGACTGCAGAACCCGGTGGAGATCAGGAGATCGAACCCCAGACACACTGGAACGTATCGTTGCGGGTACATCAACCAGAGCCTGGAACACCTGAACACCTGGATACACCTGTATGTCAAAGGTAAGACTCACTGAGGCCACGCCCCCTCTCAGAGTTACTCCTACCCCTGAGTTGAGTTGTCCTCGTCATATGTGCCATACGTAAGAGGGCGGAGTCAGATCAGACCTCCAGAGACCTCATAGACTGGTTCTGACCTGCTGTCACCTGCCAATGTTTCTAACACTTAAAATTGACCTTTATTTCCCATGATGCACCTCTGTCAGACCCAGCTGACCCCGACAGCGTCTTCGTCACACCTTATCGTCTCCCTGATGTCAAGGAGGGCCAGGACTTCCTGTTCAGGTGTCTGCTGACCGACCCGTCGGTGACAAACCTCACCCTCCAATCACATGACAGCGCCATGGGCAAGTGGCGGGGCCTGCCTCAGGGCATGAACGTGACCTTTGACCCCCAGAGAGGAGCCCTGATCCGAGACCTGCAGATGTCCTTCAAAGGACGCTATGTTTGTTCAGGCTGGAAGGAGGGACGAGAGTTCAGATCCAAACCTGTCAACCTGCTGGTTTCTCGCAGTAAGACCCATCTGTCTGTCTGTCTGTCTGTCTGTCTGTCTGTCTGTCTGTCTGACTGAGTGACCCGTCTATCTGTCTGTCTGCAGGGCTGCGTCTGCATCATCCTCCGTCCCTGTCCATCAGTCAGGATGAGTTTGTCTGTCTGGAGGGAGAGACATTCGAGGTCACCTGTCTGGCCAGGAACCCAAACAACTTCTACAACCTCACCTGGACTCACCCGAACAGGAAGGTCAGAGGTCACCTGACTGTCTTCTGTCCTGATGGACTTCCTGTTCTGATCTTCACTGTTTGTTTTTTTCTTCCAGACGCCCCCACACGTCTTCGTCACCTGCATCCATGGCAACTGTCTGGACAAGAACAGCACTCTGATGGTCTCTGATGTCACTCTGACGGACAGCGGCACCTACACCTGTACTGCTCACAACGAGGCTGGAGTCGCCACGGCAACCACACAGCTGAGAGTTGTGGGTAAGATCAACGAATCAAATCCAGATAAAAGAACGAGATCATGACTCGTTAAAAAAAAAGATACCAACAAACCTCTGATCTGTGGGAACCAGAGGGAACTAATGGGAACCAGGTGATTAGAACCAGGGCCCAGTATTTCAAAATGTAATCCGGATCAGAATAATCCTAATAATGAAATCCTCCTGTTCTCAGTCAGGGATCAAGGTGATCCTGCTGACTTTATCTGGGTATTTCAAAACATTGCCAGGGTGGATCACTTTGATCCCAGTCTGACTGGATACGGATTTCCAAATCTTACGACTCCGCCCCCGGATCTGAAACTTGGCGGACTATTTCACTAAAGGAGCAGTTGGTAGCACAGCTTTCACATCAAAATGTAGGTTTACCGTTATCTAATGTGTAGCGTTTTTAAGACCATACGAAGGCCACCCACCATCTCATGTGAGCCAGCTATTTGAATTGTCACCTAATTCAAATGTGGGCTTACTGATCTCTAATTGAGCTGAGGTCATGCTAACGGTAGCTAACGCGGCTCCATTGACTTGCATGTTAAGTAGCTAGCAGCCTAGTGAGGTACCTGACTTTGTTCATGTATTTTGCGGTCTATGGTTTAATTTAAAAGGCCATATGTCATACATGAACTCTTTAAACACCAACCTGTGTTTAACGTTATGTTATTGCCAACACAGCGGACTTTATTTAATATTTTTTTTACATGTGTGCAGAGCAAACTGCTGCAGTATAGGAAAAATACACAGAACTAGTATGAATTATGCGGTTCATTCAGAAATGTCAGAGGATCGAGTTTTGGTATGCTACAGTAATGATGGTGATGTGCTTTTCTGTACTTAAACAATTTCTGTGACTATTGTGGATTCCTGACAGAGAATGGAGACTGAGAGGGCGGAGAGACAAATTGAATTGGCTGACGAGCAGCTCAAGCTGATGCTGCTTCAGCAGAGAGAGAGACAGAATTGAAGATAAAACTTCTGGAAAAGAAGCTCACCTCAGACCTGTGAGCAGTCTTTAGGGACTGTGACACTATTTAGATTTACATTTTGTTTCTAATTGCTTTTTTAATACTTTGTTTGAACTGCCATGTGCTTATTATGTTAATCCCTGTGTTGTTTCTGTCACTCTCTGTAAAGAAAAGAATGTGCGATACAAATAAATTTGCTTTGCATTTCCTTGCCTTTGTCTGACCACAAACATATGTTGGATGTTTTGGTACAAACAAGTTACAATGTTAGGTGAAACTAGACGTTGAGAATTAGGTCTGTATTTGTTACTCTTATTTACAGCAGTTTTAGGAAGTATGGCCAAACAATATTTGTCTATGCTTGAAATTACTTACAACTAAAACACTAATTTAGATTAAGTGTAATGAACATCCTGAGTAACAATATCTAGGAGAAGTGGAGCTGAGGCTTTGTCAAATCCACCTCTGAGGTGGGATCCAAATAATCCTGAAATTTGGTATCAAATTGATCCAGATCTCTGCCTTAACTTTTGAAATACCCAAATGCAGCCTTTATCTGGATTAAAGGGAGGATTGGATTACCAGATCTGAATCCTGATCCTCAGGATCTGTGTTGAAATACCCAGTTTTCAGATCAGATCAGGATTTAATCCAATCCAGCCAGGTAATCCTATCAGATCACTTTGAAATACTGGGCCCAGGTGATCAGAACCAGGTGATCAGGACCAGGTGATCACCTGTTGGAATAAGAAACATTTTGGGAGCACACAGATCTGATGCGGAGGCTGAGACAGCTCCAGGTGCATCTCTCAGGATGAAGATGAACAAACTGAATGTCTCTCCTCTTCCTCTTCTTCCTCACCAGATCGACCCTACCTGAGGATCTACCTGCAGGCTAATGCTAATGCTAAGACCATGGAGGTCAACGAGGAACTGGTGGCTAACGTTAGCAGCATGCTGATGGAGGTGAAAGAAGAGCTAGCAGCTAACGTTAGTAGTGATTCATTGGAGGTGAACGGGGAGCTAACTGCTAATGTTAACATTAGAATGGATGTGAATGGGGATAGCAGCGCTAACATTAGCGGCAGTAGCACAGTGGAGGTGTACGAAGGTCTGGATGTGATGCTGACCTTTGTGATAGAGGCATATCCTCCAATCAGGAACTGGCACTGGACGACCTCAACACACTTCAACAACAACAGCACGGCGTACCTGGAGAGCTACGTTACAAACAGCTACAGGTTAGCATGCTAACAGCCACAGGCTAACGCTTTCAGATTTCTACTACAGGTCAGACCTGGGACACTAAACATTCCACCTTAAGGTTTGTTAAGGTGTAAAATCTCATGCTGCAGTTTGTTACAGTGCTATGGACGGTTTAAGGAGGTATTGTTGTTTTAAGATGGTATTGTTGTTTTAAGGTGGTATTGTTGTGTTGCAGGTCGGAGGCTAGCTTGCTGCTGCGGCGGGTTCGACAGGAAGATCGGGGTCAATACTCGTTCCACTTTATTAACTTGTTCTTTAACGGCTCGCAGAACATCAACCTCCGAATTTACCGTAAGAAACTTTTCCTCGTCTTCCTCAACCTTTTCCTCTCCTCCTGTTCCTCTTCTCCTCTTCCTCCTCCTCTTCCTCATGTTGATGCAGAGTAAATCAGTTTTAAAGATGTCAGTGTTTATATTTTATTTTTAATCTTGGAGCTCAACAGAGACACAAAATAAAAACTGCTCCCTCAGGTTCTCCGAGTGTCGTCATCAGTCAGGAGAAGGACATGTTGACCTGCACCGGCTCTGGATATCCACCACCCATAATTCTCTGGTACACCTGCGCCGGCGTCCACGACACGTACGTACTATCCAGACTGAGCATGTGCTGCCAGTGCCCCCTGCAGGCAGCAGAGGTCATTACTAACAACAGCCTGATTCAACTGGAACAGAACAACAGTTAAACTTTGTCCTGGGGGTGACCTGACGGAGCGTTGGGTGTAGGATACAGGACATAGGACATAGGCGATATGACATAGGGTGTAGGATACAGGATATGGGACATAGGGTGTAGGATACAGGATATGGGACATAGGGTGTACGATACAGGATATAGGAAACAGGGTGTAGGATACAGGATAAAGGACATAGGGTGTAGGATACAGGATATAGCACATAGGGTGTAGGATACAGGATATAGGACACAAGGTGTAGGATACAGGATAAAGGACACAGGGTGTAGGATAGAGGATATAGGACATAGGGGGTAGGATACAGGATATGGGACATAGGGTGTAGGATACAGGATATAGGACATAGGGTGTAGGATACAGGATATAGGACATAGGGTGTAGGATACAGGATATAGGAACAAAATAAAAAACTGTTAAACAGGTCAAATATATAAACATTTATTTATATTTAGCACCTGATTGTTTCACGGTTACTTTAAGTACAGCAGACATCAGGCTGCCTGTTCACCCCTTCACTACACCAAGGTAAAAAAAAAAGGATGATCATAGATTATCAGAATCAAACAATAAAAATGGAAACATTCTCACAGGTCTCTGTGGCACCATATTTGAATAGGATCAGGATTTCTGTGATAGAATTACTTTGATAGATTACAGTGACAGGATTACTGTGATCGGATTACTGTGATATGATTACTGTGATAGGATTACTGTGATAGGATTACTGTGATAGGATTACTTTGATAGGTTACTTTGATAGATTACTGTGATAGGATTACTTTGATAGATTACTGTGATAGGATTACTTTGATAGATTACTTTGATAGATTGCTGTGATATGATTACTGTGATAGGATTACTGTGATCGGATTGCTGTGATATGATTACTGTGATAGGATTACTTTGATAGATTACTGTGATAGGATTACTTTGATAGATTACTGTGATAGGATTACTTTGATAGATTGCTGTGATATGATTACTGTGATAGGATTACTTTGATAGATTACTGTGACAGGATTACTTTGATAGGATTACTGTGATTAGACAGTAGATCAAAGTGAATCATTTCCAGGTGTTCTTGATGTTTGCTGCCACCTGCTGGTCATTGTTTCACAGCTCGACACAAACACAAAGAGAAATGTTCAGACCTGCTCTGATAAGAACAGCAGCAACCTTTCTGTCAAGCTGTTGTGTTCCTCACCCTGTTTATTTCACCTGTTTCAGGTGAGACAGGAAACGTAAAGGCACCTGTTCATAGGTCTGCACTGACTCGTGTTAATCAGTGTTTCAGACGTACAAACTAAAAAATCAAAAACAAATCAGAGGGAAACAAATACAGCATCATATAATTAATGAAAGATCCTTTATGTTGTGTGAATGTTGGAGCCCTCTGCAGCCCAGGTAAAGTACTGGTAATCTGGATTGGGGGTCCTTAAAGTCTGATCCTGGATCAGAGTGATCTTGTCCTGGGGGTCTTCCAGAGAGTGGGTTCAGTGGAAACTCTGAGTATGTTAACCCTGACATGAGGGAAACTCTGGGTTTTCATAACAGGAAATAATTTTGACAACAGAGGAAATAATTTTAAAGGGAAATTTCGGTTTATTTCAACCTGTCTCCTATCGTCCTAAATTTGTTTCAAGTCACTAGTGACATAGAAATAATACTTAGCATGTTAGCCGTTAGCCTAGATACAGCCGTAGCGTCAGACCTGTTAAAACTTAATTGAATGGGCATCCTTTCAAGTGCAAAGTTGGTCCACTAAACAAGCTTTTTCTCCACATAGACCGCCTCATATCGTTAGGATAAATGTCAGAGAACATATAGAAAATGACATGTAAACGTGTTGTCTTACCTTACCGCTGTGCTGCCATGTTTGTTGTTTACCATTTAGCTAAGGCTGCAACCGGTCCCATTCCTTGCAACAGAGGCATTCCTCTTCTGTGGGCACTGGGGCACAGCATTCACAGGTAACGTTACACCACCAATCTCCAGAGCTACGCAGCCTTGCAGCAGCCATTCCTCCTCTCTCGTCCTCTACCTGTTGCGCCTCTCTCTCTCTCCTCCTCCGTTCTTCAATTTCACGAAGCTCTTCGTCAGTGTATTCTGGCTCAAATAAATAAGGGCGGCCATCAAACTCTGCAAAATCAAATTCCTCCTCCACAAAGTCGAAGTCTGGCAAAAAGTCAGCCATTATTCTATAAATCTTTCATAAAATAAATGAATGAACTTTTCAGGCTACTGTCCGGTTCTGCCTTCCAGCTGTTGCTGCTTGTTCT